TCTTTAATCTGATGAAGTCCCACTTGTTTATTTTTTCTTTAGTTTCCCTTGTCCGAGTAGACATGGTATCTGAAAAGATTCCTTTTTGACCAATGTCAAATAGTGTATTGCCTATATTTTCTTCTTGGAGTTTTATAGTTTCAGGTCTCACCTTCAGGTCTTTGATCCATTTTGAGTTAATTTTTGTGGATGGTGAAAGCAGATGGTCTACTTTCATTCTGTTGCAAGTGGCTGTCCAGTTTTTCCAGCACCATTTATTGAAGAGACTTTCCTTTGTCCATTGTATGTTCTTAGCTGCTTTGTCGAAGATTAGCTGTCTGTATATGCGTGGCTTTATTTCTGGGCTTTCAATTCTGTTCCATTAATTTGTGTGTCTCCTTTTGTACCAGTACCATGCTGTTTTGATTACTATTGCTTTGTAGTATGTTTTGAAGTCAGGGATTGGGATGCCTCCAGCTTTGTTCTTTTTTCTCAGGATTGCTTTAGCTATTCAGGGTCTTTTGTTGCCCTATATGAATTTTAGTATTCTTTGTTCTATTTCTGTGAAAAATATCATTGGGATTCTGATCTTTGTTGATATTCTACATTTGGTGAGACATTGTTCTCATACTTGCTTTAGGTCTTTAGACAGGGCTTCCTTTAGTTCTTTTAACATTAATAATTGCTGATTTAAAGTCTTTGTCTAGCAAGTCCAATGTCTGTGTTTCCTCAGAGACAGTTTCTATTGACTCCTTTTTTCCTTTTTCCCCCTGTGTATGGGCTATACTTTCTTGTTTCTCTGAGTATCTCATAATTTTTGTTGAAAACTGGACATTTAAAATAATATTATATGGCAAATTGGGAAATCAGATTTCTCCCAACCCCAAGATTTGTTATTGTTGCTGTTTGTTTAGTACCTTTCTGGGACTAATCCTGTAAAATCTGTATTTGTCATGTATGGCCACTGAAGTGTATGTGTTGGGGTATGTTTTCAGTGCTCTGGCAGGTGGTTTACTACTTTAGCCTTCCTGCTTGCTCAGAGCCTCAAGGTTGGCCAAAGGTGACAGATTAGGGCCTTCTCAGGTCTTTCCTGGGCATGTGACAGCCTTGTACGTGGGCCTTGCCTTCTAGGTCCCCAGGATGTCTTGGTGTTTTTCATTCCCCAATATTTCTTTCTTTTTTTTTTTTTTTAAATTTTTTGTTTATTGCAGTAACATTGGTTTATAACATTGTAAAAATTTCAGGTGTATCCCAATATTTCTTTTTAAAGTCGTTTGGTCAGCCTCTCGTGAGCCCCAGTTGGTATCTCACCCTCAGGTAGCTGTGATGTTCAGTTGCCACTGATGTTTTTGACAGATGCCCTCAGATGGGCTGTTTGTATAGAGTGAGCTCTGAATCAGGTCAAATAAAGACAAGCTTGATGATGGAGCTTTGCAGTGAGCTGCCAGATAGGTCAAATAGTGGCATTTCTCTGGGGATGGGGATTTTGGGGAGCTCCAAAGCTGTCTTATTCCCTGCTGTGGCTGCCAGCTTGCTAGTTTCACAGATATCATAGTTACAAGGCTGCTGATTTTCAAGGCTACCTTGGAGCTGGCAAGAGGGGAATGGGAATAGGGTAAGTTGAAATGCCAGAGAGTTCACTGTTCTTACCGAGATTCAGTGATTTTTCTTGAATAAATACTCCTGGGATTTTGGGAAGTCTTTGGTTTATTTCTAGAATTCTGAAAACATTGATGTTGACAACTTTTGCCGGTGTTCTCACTGCTTTTATGTAGGAGCAGATTTTCTGAGGTCCTTACTCCACCATTCTGGAGGTGCTTCATCCTTCTTCTCCTACCCTTCCTTCCTTTTTTCTGATGGTCCCTCCTCCTGCTCTCCTGGATCTCTCCGCTTCAGCTGTATTGGCCTCTCTGTTCCTTGAACACTGCAGGCATGCTTCTGTCATAAGGCCTTTGCACTGCTCTTGCCTCTACCTGAAATATTTCCCCCCCAGATAACTGCATGGCTTGCCTCCTCACCTCCTTCAGGTCTTTGCTCAGGTGTCACCTTCTCAGTGTGGCTTTCATTGACCACTCTACTTATTTATTTATTTTTTGCTGAGGAATATTTTCCCTTGAGCTAGCATCCATGTGGGCTGCCAGCACAGCATGGCTGCTAACAGAGTGGTGTAGGTCCGTGCCTGGGAACTGAACCTGGGCCGCTGAAGCGGAGCCCACTGAACTTAACCACTAGGCCACCAGGGCTGGCCCCCACTCTACTTATTTTTTTGGACCATCTTATTTAGAGTATAATGCTGCCAACTCCAAGCATTCCCAGTCTTCCTTTTTGATTTATTTTTCTCCTTAATGCTTATCCTCCTCTAACCTGCTATACAATTTACTCGCATTGATTTATTTTTTTATTACCTGTTTCCCCAACTAGAACACAAGCTCCATGAGGGCAGGGATTTGTTTTCTCTTTTGTGTTGACCTTTGCATCCTTATCACCTGGAACAGTGCCTGGCTCAAAGTTGATGCTCCATAAATATTTGTTGAATAAATAAACAGATAAAAGTTAAGGGTTAAACAAATGTAGTTTAAAAAGGAAAAAGGCTGTATAAGCAATCTGATTAGCAGAAACTACTAGTTATTCACACGTCTAACTTTGTAGTAGATATATATTCTAATGCACCTAGTGTTGTGAAACAGCGTGTTCAGTGTTTATGTGGTGTATGTTGTCTCAAGTACCCCTCTAGGAGGCCTTTACTTAGGAGGCTTGCTTGAATGGGGTTGGGGCTCAGGGTGAGAGGAAGTGAGGAATAATTTTTTTATAACATCATATATAAGTTATTTAATTGGCTACTAAATAGTAGCTACTAAATTGTCATGCTGACCATTAGCCAAAGATTACTCTTCATTTTATGAGGTATTCAGTATATTATTTTTCTAAAAAACTCACTGTTTGCATCCTACTTTTTCCAACTTTTGGAAACCAAAGGATATGGTTGCAGAAATTATTTTAGTTTCCAAGTTTTGGCACTGATATCAAAGTTTTCCCACAAAAAGTTATGCAACATTTTGTACACTATGCTGTTTTGTTGTTGTTAGTGCTGTTGAGTCGCTTCTGGCTCCTAGCGACTCTGTGTACAGCAGAGCGGAACCCTGCCTGGTCTTTTTGCACCATCCTCTCACCTTCCAGCACTATATCAGGCAATGCTCCACTGCTATTCATAGGGTTCTCATGGCCAGTTTTTTTGGAAGTGGGTGGCTGTGTCCTTCTTCCTAGTCTGTCTCAAGTCTGGAAGCTCTGCTGAAACCCATCCACTGTGGGTGACCCTGCAGGTATTTGAAATACCAGTGGCATAGCTTTCAGCTTCACATCAATATGCAGCTGCCACAGTATGACAACTGACAGATGGGTGGTGTGGTTCTCTGACCCAGAAATGAATCTGGGCCGTGGCGGTGTGAGCACCGAATCTGAATCACTGGACCACCGATACTATACTGTTAGACAGTAAGGTAACATTGAAATGGATATGACATTGTTCCCTGCTCTCTAAAAATTTACAGCTTATTTTGAGAGAAGAAAGTTGATGTAAAAACTCTCCTCCCATGATTGCTGATCAAGATTTTTCTTTGGCACTTTTATTTCTTCTGTTTCATTTACTTATCTGTGCATGTGCCTTCTTATTACCTGTCCCTAACTGTATGTCCTTGAGGGAAAGGAACTACGTCTTTCTCATTTTTGTCACTTGCAACCTGAAAAATTATGTATTGAATTACTGCATTACTGATTTATGTGGATGTTCTTTTAAGTCCATAAAGTGCAGAGAAATTTCAGGTGATATTTTCTAAAAATTAAATAATACAACGTACTATGTAAGTGCTGAATGAGTGGCATGGGTGCTAAGTTTTATGGAACTTTTGGAGATGACATCAGTGTGGACTAGGAATTTGGGCAAGCCTTTGCAGAGGGGGTGGAATTCAGGCTCTGAAGGAAGTGGAGCTGTTCTGTGGTTAGGAATGAGACGAGTATTCCAGTTGGAGGGAAGAGCTGGTGCAGTGTTGGGGAGCATTATGCAGAGCATGTTTAGAGACCAGTGAACGGGTCGGGTGTGCTCAAGGGAGGGTCTGAATGTGTGCGTGTGGTTGAGGGCAGAGGGGGCAAGTTGTGCTTGAGCCTTCTACTTGTCATGTGACTTTTAGACAAGTTCTTTTACTTTTCGTTTGTTTCTTTATCCGCAGTTAGAGCAAAGGAGTTAGACTTGATGAGTTTGGCTCTAAAATCTGTGTCTCTCTTTTTTTTTTTTAATGTCAGGACTTTATTTAGTAAGCAGCAGTAAGCAAGATGTTTTTTGAATAAGTGGATGGATGAAAAATAAAAGAGGTATTTTAGGGCTTCTAGGAGGTTCATAAATGTTTCAAAGAGAAGAAACTAGAAGCAGGTAGATCAGTTATTCATTTTAGTAGTTTGAATATAAATCCTGACTTAAGATCAGGGAAATGAGAATGAAGTAACAAGAGAGATGTCAGAAAGATCGGTAAGGTTTCCTTCTTGTGTGGGAGAAGCAGAAAGGAGAAGTGAAAATGTTTCACTTTGAAACTAAATGAACTGAAGATGACATGCAGGATGTTAGGAGTGACTCGTTATTTTTGGTTGGGACTGGGGGGGCTAGAGAGGATCAAGCCTGGTGGAAAGATAAAGTTTAGACATGTTTAAGTGCTGCTGGAAGATAAAAATATGAATGAAAACAAAGACATACCCACTTCTTTAAAGGTGCTCCCAGTGACCATATTAATGCACAAGGGTGTATACAAAGGACAGTGGACTTCCAGGGGAGGTGGAGGGAGAGGGAAAGCCAAGAGCTTCTAGGATACCAGGGGAAGGTGGTGACTGAGGTGTGTCTCACTTGATAGGTAGGAACTCATCAGAAGGTAACATAAAAGTCAGTTTGAGTCTTATGATGCTATTTCCCTTCTTTATGCATCCCCTTCCTCCTATCTTGTTTGGTGTTTAATGGCCATTTCTCTTCTTTTCTAAAGGATCTACCGCTACCAATCTCATGACTATGCCTTCAGTAGTGTTGAAAAGTTACTACATTCTCTAGGAGGGGACGACTTCCTTGGACTGCTTAACCAAACACTTCTTGAAACCCTGCAGAAAGCAGGCTTCTCTGAGAAATTCCTCAATGAAATGATTGCTCCCATCATGAGAGTCAATTATGGCCAAAGCATGAGCATCAATGGCTTTGTGGGTAAGCCAAGGCTGGGAACAGTTATGGACATTAGTTCACAGACAGGCTTACCTGATGCGACAGTGGCCTCTGACTTAAGGCCTCAGGGACGACTACCTTTCTCTGTGAAACCTCAGTTGATAAAATTGTGTGTGTGTAGATGTGCATTTTTATGGGGAGAGGGTCCTTAGCTTTCATTAGTTGAATGGTTCTCAACTGGGGGAGATTGTGCCCCCAACGGCCATTTGGCAATATCCGGAGACACTTGGAGCAGAACTCACCTAAATGGGGAGAGTGGGTAGAGGGCCTCTTACAGAGTTAGAATAAAACACATTTTTTCCTACTGCCGACAGGGGCAGTGTCAATGTCCGGTGCTGATTCTGGCCTTTGGGCAGTAGAAGGTGGCAATAAACTTGTTTGCTCACGGCTCCTTCAGGCTTCCAAAAGCAACCTTATACGTGGCTCAGTAATGTACATAGAGGAGAAAACAAGGGCCAAGCAGACAGGTGAGTTTGAACTTCTATTTTATTGTTCCTAATTTCCCCTGTAGAAAATAATTGCTCAGGCAGAGAAACCTCTCTTCTGCCATCTCTCACTCAGTTCCAAATAATGGAATTTTAAATTCTGTATGTTGTGCCATGTAGAAATATTCCCTGTGCTCAAGTACAGTGGCATGACTCTTTGAATTTGAAAAATAATCTCATCCTCCAAAGTAAAAATTCCATATTTTGTACTTACTCACAAAGTATTATTTCCTTTCCACGTAGGAAATTGGCCTCAATTTGGGACAGTTATCTTAGGGGATAAAACTTCTTTAATTCCTTAGAATTATAAACTATTAAGAAGGTATAGAATTATTTTTAGAAGGTATAAAATATAGTATGTTAGAAACACTAAAGAAATGTATGCTTTCTTATTTCCTCTAGGAAATCCCACAAAGATGTATGAAGTGGTCTACCAAACTGGATCTGAAACCCGTTCAGACTTCTATGACATCGTCTTGGTGGCCACTCCATTGAATCGAAAAATGTCCAATATAACTTTTCTCAACTTTGATCCTCCAATTGAGGAATTCCATCAATACTACCAACATATAGTGACAACTTTAATTAAGGGGCAATTGAATTCAACTATTTTTAGCTCTAGAGACTTAGATAAGTTTGATCTCGGTATGATCTTAACCACTGATAATTCAGATTTGTTCATTAACAGCATTGGGATTGTGTCCTCTGTAAGCGAAAATAATCCTCAACCATCAACAGATGGGACATATGTTTGGAAGATCTTTTCCCAAGAAATTCTTACTAAAGAACAAATTTTAAAGCTCTTTTTGTCCTATGATTATGCTGTGAAGCAGCCGTGGCTTGCATATCCTCATTATAAGCCTCCAGAGAAATGCCCCTCCATCATACTCCACGATCGACTTTATTACCTCAATGGCATGGAGTTTGCAGCAAGTGCCATGGAGATGAGTGCCATTGCAGCTCACAATGCTGCTCTCCTTGCCTATCACCGCTGGAATGAGCACGTGGACATGATTGACCAAGAGGACTTATATGAGAAGCTTAAAACTGAACTATGAAATAAGTCACTTTTTCCCCCTCTTGGTTCCAAATGGAATATCACTGGCAAAAAGGAACACAATCTGAGATGATTTTGAATCAGATATTTTGCCATTATCATGGTTTAATGAAAGTAATACCAGTTAATCAAGAGAAAATACAAAGTTCTAATTAAGTGTGAAGGTGTAATGCATTTATGCCATCTCCAAAATTTCTTAACTCTTTTAGTATCCATCATCAACAGTGTTTCCCAAACTTCCCTGATCTTAAGAGTCATCTGGAATTTGTCAAAACATATAGATTCTCTTCCTTCTCTGGTGAATCATTAAGTCTGGGGGGGGGGGACCCTGGATTTTGAACAAAACCTTAGAGCATTTTAAGCTGAGCACTTGAGGAAGAATTTAAAGACATACCTCTTAGTTGGGGACTAGTTCATTTGCACTTCACTCCTGGAGGTGATCTTCAGTCAGATAGTTAAAACTACTATGGGAGCTGGTATCTCATGCCTGGCTTCAGTAATTTATACCTTTTCAAAGTAAATGTGCCCATGCCTGAAGCCTTGACTTGCAGAACGTTCTTTTGATTGTTTCTGTCTCAATTTTATTAGGGGTGAAATTTTGAAGTTTTAGTAGTATAACCTTAAGATGTCAATAAAAACCTTCCTTCAAGTAGAATGAAAAGCAAATATAGGCTATTGATTTAAAGAATTGGTATTCTATCATCAAATCCTCACCTATGGAGCTTTAAAAAGTACTGATAGATCCCTATAATCAAAGATTCTGATGTAATGGATGGAGGACAGGACCTCAGCACTGTAGATTTTTAAAGTTTCTAATGTGCAACCTGGGTTGAGAATCGCTGATGTGGGGGTTTAAGATGTTTCCAAAGGGTTTTTAGTGCCTTAAGAGTCCGAAGAAACCCAATCCATTATTAAAGCAGACCCATTTTGCGAAGAATGACTTCTCTCAATGTGAACTCTAGTAGTAATGTTGATAGTAAGAAGCACTGACAGTCTAATAGCAGAGGCAACTTAGATTACTCCAGAGCAGTTGACACTAGGGTAGGATTTTGAGAATGACACTGTGCTTGATCAAATCCAGCATATGGTCAAACTGTTGAATGCTTCTAAACCTACTGTAGCATTTCGGGTGAGAAATTGGTTGCTGAAATCTTGTTTTAAGGTCATAGTTCTCAAACTTGGCTGCATGTTGGAATCACCTATAGGACTTTAAAGGTTCCTGAATGATTCTAATATGCAGCAAACTTGGAGAACCAGTTTCTCCAAAAAAGAAACTCGCCAAGTTTCTCTTCTGTACAGTGGATGTAGAACTGGTTCTCCATCCAGCCAGAACTGGTTAGTTTTAGAACTGGAGAACCAGTTCTACATCCACTTTACAAAGACCATGAATGACTGTCCTGATAGTCACTGGTAGGGCAGAACAAGTAAAAGCTTGTGAATTCTAAAAGTAACCGCAACCAAGTTAATATGTCCTGTAAAAAAAAAAAAAGTCCTTTACCAAATTATGGCAGTAGCTACTTTAGCAAAATGGTATGAGAACACAGTCATAGTTAAAATGATTTCTTCTCTACTACAATTGTGGATATCAGTATGCTGATAAAACTGCCAAGATCTATTTGATGTAAAGGCAGGGATTTAATTTAGTTTGTCAAAGGGCCAGCTTTTTTCTAATTTTATTCTTAAGTATGTTAAGAGGCATTCAAGTCTTTTTTCTTTTTGTGGTTTTAAGGAAGATAGTACAGAGAATGTCATACTGTGTTATGTATATGTTAAAGATTGGTAAATACTAATGCAATAGTTTATTTTCTATCACTTGTAGACTTGTTTTGCAAGGGGATATATATTTTACTTATAAGAATACCAATTTAAAATGTTGCTGTTATATCAAATCTATGCTGATTATGTTTTCCAACAGGATATCTGCAATTGCTTCCTCAAAGAGCAGAACAGGTCATCGATATATCAAGTGTATTAGATAGTTTGCAATGACAGGAATAATTTTTTATTGGAAGAAAAATACTATCAGAGCCTGTTACCTGGTTCAGAGCACTCTACTCATCTTTTTACAGATTTTTACCGGTAAAAATTATGCAGGGGCTAACTGAAAGCAGCTCTACTCCAGTTGTTCTCCAACTCGAGTATGAAATGCAATCGCGAGGGCTTGTTAAAACATTGCTGGGCCTCACCCTCAGAATTTCTTTCAATAGGTTTGGAGTGGTATACAAAAATTTGCATTTCTTTTAAGTTCCTAGGTGATGCTGCTCCTGGTCTAGGGCCCACAGTTAGGGAAACAGTTTTATAATTCAGCTCTATGTAGTTACACAAAATGCAAGCCTGTTAACATCAGCGAAGATTTAAAGAGAGCTGCTGAAGAAGGGAAGAATAAAAATGTATAGGAAGTCACATCAACTCTCCTTATTGTGATTAAGTTGGTTTGATCCCTCTAGCTGTTCTTTTGCCATAAACCTTTTCTATAAATAGGAAATACCATTTCAGAGATACATATAAGCCATCCGTTGTGTTCTGTGTTTTATAAGTACCTTTCATACTCACGTGTAGTATACCCCATTCTCTAGTTGTATTAAAGTGATTGAAGATTTGTAGGCTTTTTACCAGATCACAAAAAGAATAGGCCTAAGCATTTCCTTGGTAGGTTTCTTAAGGGTTAGGTTTATGATACAACCATCTGTAATATATCTCTCATCTGAGTTTGTGCACCATAAAATTTATAAACAAGATGAATATATTATGGGCAGCATTATCACTACCCCTGTACTCCACAAAGAACCACAATACACTGGAATGTTTTTCTCTAGAATTCTTTCTACTCTGGTATTCAAAATTGTTTTCTCAAAATAAACAACTACATCATTACTTCCTGTGTTTTACTTCTATTGTACTATACTTGGAATGTAGCTGCAATCGGAAAAGTCAGAGTACATCAAAGTTACTATAAGAGTTTTGAAAATTACAGTTAATCTTTCAGAAGAAACCCACTCAGGTTTGCAGGTTTTTTTTTAAATCTCTGTTCACTGTTAAAAGATGGAAAAAAGGCCTCCTTGCCATATTTCACACTTAATCAGATTCTTCTATATTAACGCATAAAAACTTTTGAACAAATTGGTCTCAACCAGGAATAGTTCATTTCAGAAAAAATTAGAAGAGCATGGTTAAGTGCGTGAGCACCGCTACTGGCGGCCTGGGTTTGGATCCCGGGCGCACGCCGATGCACTGCTTCTCCAGCCACACTGAGGCCGTGTCCCACATACAGCAACTAGAAGGATGTGCAACTATGACATACAACTATCTACTGGGGCTCTGGGGAAAAAGAAGAGGAGGACTGGCAATAGATGTTAGCTCAGAGGCGGTCTTCCTCAGCAAAAAGGAGGATTAGCATGGATGTTAGCTCAGAGCTGATCTTCCTCACAAAAAAAAAAGAAGAGCTAATATTTTATTTTCTATGCTCAGAACATCTTAGAAACATTTCTGACTATTACAAAAGTTTATTTAACAAAAAAGTTTAATATGAAAATGTACACAACCCGATTCTGTATTGTAGCAAAACAGGTGCTGTGGAGTGGGGACATGTGGAAGCAGCTGATTCCTCTGGAGAACACAGCTATCGTTTATACTCGTTCCAAGGCTTCTAACATGATGATACTATTTCCTCGTATTACCTGAGGAAGAGAAAAGTAAATTTGAAAAGAACAATTCATTTAACAGACCTATCAATGATTAAAGAATTTTCACCAAAACATTAATGGTTTTCCAGTATTAAATAGTTTGTGAGGCTTTTTTCAAGCCATAAGGACACCAAATAACTCATGTCTTTTAATCATGACATGAAGCCACTAAGCCCTTTAGAAGTGAGATGCGCGTCTTCTAGATCAAAGGCTAACAAGGACCCTTTTGAGATGCCAAATCTCCAATGACTCATTCCACCTTCTCAACTGTAGGACTCAAATAACGTGCCCATCTCAGCCCCTAAGGGATCCATAAATTAATGGGAAAAATAGGGACAGCAGAATATGTACATTAGTTCAGGGGTGTAAGATTATTTAGGGAACAAACTAGGATAGAAGTTGTGAAAAGTATGCTTGTGAAGATGGCATTTTAGCTGGGTCTTGAAAATTGGGTAGGATTTTGACAGAAAGGCAATTTTAGACATAACTGAGATGAAAAAGTATAAGGGGGTAAAAAAACAATCTAATTTGAATGCAGTAAAAGGTTATGAAGGGAAGTGGGAAACAAAGATAGTCTGCATCCAATCTTAGAAGGCCCCAAACACCAATCTTAAAAGTGTTGGGAGGACATTTTCATGAAACCAACAATAAGCTAGTGAAAGTTTCACAGTTGGCGGAATCATCACTGTTCTGGCAACAGCATATATAAGAGAATGGGAGAGAGCTTAGAGGCAGGAAGAGAAGTTGTAAAGAAAAGGCCCTACCTAGGAGCACAGTGCTTGACGTAGTAGCCATTCCATAAATGAAGAGAAGCAAGGATACTTATGAGAGCATAGGTGAAATGGCTGGTAACTGAGTTCAAGAGTGGCAGAAAAACAAGTCAAACTGGAAGGCAACGGGACTGAAAATGAGCCCCTGGTGGACTGCAGATCATAAGGCAATCACAGATCAGGTCAAGTAGAGCTGGAGAGATGAAAGGACAGGAGGAGGAGAAGAGGAAATGTAACAATTTATTAGAGATGGAGGCATTCTGGTTAAGATTCAAAGTGGAGCTATGCTTGTAGGCAGCTGGAGTAAGAATAGCTATAACTTGTTTTCTCCCCTCCTTCTACTCCCTTTATTTATTTATTACATACACTGTTATTTATTGTCTTCCTCACTCAAATGGTATTTCTAGAGGGCAGGGACTTTGGTGCAATACTCCAGTGCCTAAAGTAGTGGCAGGCACAGAAAAGGCTCAATAAGTACCTGTTAAATAAACAAATGAACTCGCATGTAATTACTGCAGCTCAGACTGGAAAGGAACGTGACAGATGGGAAAGTGTCCTGGAGCCAGGCAGAACTAACAGCAATGAATATGGAGAGAAGGTGGCAAATAATTAAAGAGCAGCATTAAAAGAGAACGATGCCCTGAAAATGACAATGGGGACTGAAAGGGCCTACAGACTCTTACTCTTTTTATAAGTTAGGAATAGAAATGAAGAAAGCTCAACAACATGCTTACTTAGTTCTCCGAGTTTTAAATTCCTGGCTTACTTGCAACAGAGGAAGAACATCACATTGCACTGATTAAAGCGTGAAAAACAACTAGCCTTCTTTCCTAGCTCCCTCCTAAATTTGTCCATTTCTGACACTTTCCCTAGACGTGGAGAGTGGTAGAGAGAAGTTATTTCAGATAATTAAGATTTTCAGATCTGAGGGCTTTTTTGGGAATCATTAAAAAACAAAATAAAACTGTGCCTTTTTCATCAACATTTTCTAAAATGGTATTACACACTTCGTCTTTTCACATATACACAGGAAGTAACGCTAGCTGGTGAACACCTTTGCCTTGTAGTGCTCTTCCTCTTTTCCCATGGTCTTTGAGGCCCAATTCTCCAAATCAAACTGGAACTGTCAGGTCCAGAATTCTACATTGCTCCGTTTTGTGCTTTACTAGTTTTTGTAAAGTGCTGCTCAGGCTTTCAGCGTCTCAAAGGGCGCAGGTGTCTAATAAAGAATACAAACCTAAAATGGAGCTATAGAAGCACAGACCTAGTAAGAACTGAGCTCTCAGCATCATAAAATATAGAATTTTTATTACATTCTTAGGGGAACCCTGGTGAGGAATGGAATGTTAAGGAAGACAGAGGTGAGGCCACTGACAACTCAGGATCTTCAGAAGAGGCTAGTCAAGACATCATTACATAACTATCCAGCTGATAGATCCCCAAACAAATTTCCCCTCAGAACACACACACTCTTAAAACTATTCTTTTTTTTTTTTTGTTTGTTTTTTTTGTTTTTTGTGAGGAGATCAGCCCTGAGCTAACATCCGCCAATCCTCCTCTTCTTTTTTGCTGAGGAAGACGGCCCTGGGCTAACATCCGTGCCCATCTTCCTCCACTTTATATGGGACGCCGCCACAGCATGGCTTACCAAGCAGTGCGTCGGTGCGCGCCCGGGATCCGAACCAGCGAACCCTGGGCCGCCACAGCAAAGCGCGCGCACTTAACTGCTTGCGCCACCGGGCCGGCCCCTAAAACTATTCTTAATATAATGGTATTAAGTAACTTCAATGGCCTCAGGGGGTCAGTGACTTGGACAAAGGAAAAATGAAGCCAATGTAACTGTCTCCTTTACCAAATTACTTGTGAAGAAACAAAACTGTAACCTGTTTCTCTTTTCTAACCCCAGAAAAGCCCTTCTTGCATTTTCTTTAGAATGTCTCTTTATTAAAGACCACTGATATATTATCATTATTTCATTTTCAAAGTGTTAACTTGGCTGTAAGAATTGCTGCCTACTAATACAAACATTTTTGGTCACACAACAAGCACCAGAGGCGGAATAGCAGACTGCCTAAACACAGTAAATAGGTGCTCATTATTTGAGTGACTTGGGATGGTGCTGCTTTTAACCAATTTCTGTGTCAAGAAAATTAAGCCCATCAAAATTCAGGGGGCAAATTTCGAGAAAGATCCTTGATCTAGGCTCAATTCCTTCTCTGATAAAACTCCAAGTGGCACACAATTCTCTAAAAAGTTATCTTCCCGGGCCGGCCCCATGGCTTAGCGGTTAGGTGCGCGAACTCCGCTGCTGGCGGCCCGGGTTCGGATCCCGGGCACGCACTGACGCACCGCTTCTTGGGCCATGCTGAGGCCGCGTCCCACATGCAGCAACTAGAAGGACGTCCAGCTATGATATACAGCTATCTACTGGGGCTTTGGGGGGAAAAAAAAAAAAAAAAAAAATTAAAAAGTTATCTTTCCAAATTAGAACTGACTTTTACATGTTAAGTCCTTCTTGAATCCTTTTTTAGCAAGTCTGTTGAGATATGAAATAAAAACCTAATCTACTCTCTATTATAATGAGGGTTTCCTAATCCGTAAAAGGAAGGGCTAGAGGGAAATTTTGGGGTATTAAAAAACTGTCTTTATAAGAAAGTGGCTGCTAATTATTTACCCAGAGTTTTACTCACTTTCAACAGAAGCTCAAGAAGCACGTACCTGAGAGGAAGAAGGTCGATTTATGTGAAGCCTGGAGAGGGGGGATGGTCGCATATCTAGAGACTCTAAGCTGTTTTTCAAACCCTGACTACTGATTTGCTTTTCAAAATGCAGTAATAGAAATACATTTGAAATAAGCAGTAACACAAACCTTGGAGTGATTAAAAAAATTTACACCCCTCTACTGCTCAAACTTAAAAAAAAAAATTGTGAGGTAAGAAATCAAGGCTAACAACTAGGAAAACTTTACCTGCTCTTAGAGGTCTTTATGTTCAAAGATTTGCTAAAGCTAAGTTGTCCTTTTTGATTCACCTTTTCCAAGAAACTTAGACTTACCACTTACTGTGTATAGTGTCCTGTGCTGGGCAAAGAGAGGGAATCAAAGTCTGGGTCTTGTTGACAAACACCAAAACTCTTCTTTACTAGTCATACCCCTATGGCCTAATGAATACAGAAATGTTTGCTCCTTTAATTAAGAACTGAGTATTTGTTTTTTGTTTTTTCTCTTTTCTTCCATGTGGATGGCTGCCATTGTGATCATCCCTTCCAACTTTTACCTTGACTACTTTTAAATCTGGGTGTGATAAATCAGAAAATCTAGGTTAATTATATACACAATTAAAATAAAAAAGTGTGATCTGTGGACTGGTAGTTCTCTATCAAATGTGCACTTGTTAAAAATGCAAAATCTCAGGTTCCACGCCATACCTACTGAATTAGGATCTGTGTTTTAACAACATCTTCTGGGAATTCTTAAGTACATTAAAGTTTGATAAGTAGCTCTTAATCTTCATGACATATTAAAATTATCCAAAGTCTTATAACCAAAAAAAGATGGCACCATTACATATAGTTTCAATTGCTTTGGGGTGGAATCTAAGCACAGTTGTTTTTTTAGTAAAACTCCTCAGGTGATTGTAAATGTTCCAGATCAGTAGTTTAATCTTTGCCTTACATTAGAATCATCTGGGGAATATCCCAGACTAATCTGATTCTAAGATACAACTAAGATTGAGAACTATTGCTCTAATGAAGGACTAACTATGGGCCTCTATTATAGAATAAAGCTCCAAAATGATTTCCAACAGCTATCTCAAGCCCAAGGACCTCAGAGAGTTCCATATAAGATTCAGATCTAACCTACAGGTAACTGGGCTATTATCAAACTTAAATGACTGCCATATGTTAAACTAACAGGGAGATGGAAAGTCTAATCTTGCCTGTAATTTGTCTAACTCCAATTTAGTCCAAGAGTTTGACAGAAGGGAAGTTAACACTTATTTCGAAAGAAAAATGAAATCTCTAAGAGAAATCTTATATCTTTACTTACCACCATTCCAATGTTGTTCTGTTGCCCACTAGTTGCCATCTCCACACATTCATCTATCACAAGATTCATAAAGGGATCAAATCCCCGCAGTATTCCTTGGACATGCCTGCCACCATTTAATTTCACTAGAAAAACAGAAAAAATCTTAATGAAACTGACCATTAGCTATCAATAATTAACTAAAAATTAGGGGGGATAAAACCCAGGCATTTAGATGTATAATCCACCATCCTTACTATATGCCAAGCACTGGGCTAAATATTTTATATTTACTTTCATATTTAAACTTACAAGAATCCTATGAAGTAGAATTTATCCAACTTTTTACGAGGGAACCGAAGTATAGAGCTTTTAAGTAACTGGTTCAAGGTTATACAGCTACTGTGTGGTAAAGCTGGGATTCAAATTAAAGGCTGCTTGCCTCTAAAGTCACAATCTTGGGCCGGCCCCGTGGCATAGCCATTAAGTGCACGTGCTCCGCTGCTGGTGGCCCGGGTTTGGATCCTGAGCAAACACCAACGCACCGCTTGTCAGGCCATGCTGTGGCAGCGTCCCATATAAAGTGGAGGAAGATGGGCACAGATGTTAGCCCAGGGCCAGTCTTCCTCAGCAAAAAGAGGAGGATTGGCATGGATGTTAGCTCAGGGCTGACCTTCCTCACACACACACAAAAAGCCATAATCTTAACCCCTATACACTTCAAGTACTGTATGGGTCAGATTTTCAGTCCCTGTCTAACTAAGTCCTTTGCTTAAAGGAAAAGAGGTTGATAAATTTTCGAATATCATAAAATAGGAAAATCCCGTTGATTTTGTTAAAGCGAGGGAGGGCTTAAATGAAATACTAAAAAGTCTGAAGTACTGTGAAATTTATTAAACATAAGAAACTAGGTAAATAAAATTGTAGTTAGGATTTTGATAAATTTGCTTAATGGATATGAGTTAGAGGTTCTGTGTGCTTTGAATTTTTATAAAGTTGCTCCAAATGTTATATACTGCCAAGACACACATAAAAAGCAACTGAACAATAAAAAAACAAAAAACTCCAACTTACATGATAACTTCTTGTCCATAAATCTGAAAAAGCAAAAGATGTAAAGATTATATAACCAATTAAAAAAATTTAAGTATAAATAAGTACAAAAGTAGGTATAGTCAATATTATTAATTTGCTAAAATTTGCACAATAGGAATAATGAAATTTAAAATAGTAAAAACCTTGTACTGCTGTAAAGGATAAGGGAGTGATGGACCACCTCAGTTAGTACTTATAGACAGCAACATAATTCGGGAAGGGGCAAGATAATAAAGTGGAATGGATTTGGAATATATTAATGTACATTAAATCGAGTCCTTATACTGATGTGAATTACGCATTCTTGTTCAATACTGACCTAATTTTCAATGACTGGATTTGACAGCCATAACAGAAAAACAAAGATTCGGTTATATTTTGGTTATTTCCAAAACCAAAGTTGTGAAGAAAACCAAAGGTAATCAAACCATATCCAATTCAATAGGTATTTTATTTTATATTTGAGACAGTAAGTAGTGTTGTTTTATTCAATATTAAGCATCAATCTTACGTGTTTAGGATAGTCTTCAACATATATTTTAGCAAAATTAAAGCATACTTTGAAGCTTTAAACAAGAAAATCTCATCTCTGCAGGGTAGTATGAGAATATTAAGAATTTTACCTCTTCTATAGGCTAGAAAATATGAAATTGCATTAATTTTTAATGTATTATCATGGGAGAATTCAAAAATAAGACATGGGGCCTGACAGAACGTGTGAGAAGATACATTTACAAATAAAAATACATAGTGTGATATACAAAATCATCTATTTTAATAGGATATATTATACAAAATATAGCAAATATAACCAACAAGCTTCATCTTTATGACAACTTTGTAAATTACGTACTATTATTACCTCCCCTTATAAGTTCCCCTTAGAGGAGGGGAACTGAGGCTCAGAAAGGTTACGTAAATTGTCCAAAGTCGATTGAGAAAGTTTGAGCAAACACAATGGTTCAGTTTGACTAGAGAACAGGGCACTCAAATATTAGTGTGTGTAATATTTGGTGCTTGAATTTCAGATGGAGGAGCTTGAATGCTGGGTTAAGAAGTCGGGATTTTATTATACAGACAGCGATAAATTATTAAAGCACAATCAGTCATTAGCAAGACTACTGTGGCAGCAATTTAAGAGGTGGGTGGGAGCATTCCATTAGGCCAGGGTATCTCAATCTTGGCATACTGACATCTGGGGCCAGATAATTCTTCACTGTTGAGGGATGTCCAGTGCATTGTAGGGTGTTTAGCAGCACTCCTGGCCTCTACCCAATAGATGCTAGTAGAACCAGACTCCCTACTCCACAGTTAAGAACCACAGAGTTATGCTAAACCAGGAGGAGGGGATAAAAGCGTAAAAGAAGATGGTATTTGTGAAATAATTAATTTAGAAAAAATATGAAACTCATTTTGGAGACAGATCTGACAGGATTTCATAATTCATGAAATCTAGAGATGAGAAAAGTATGAAACTAGTTTCATCCTCTGAAATTCTCAAATAATATCTGTTAAGAATCAAAAAGGAAATTTAAGATTACAATTAGAAAATGGTCCATTTGTTAAAAAATAATTACCATTTCACCAGCTCCCGATGAATCCAGAGGACACTTAACAAGATTTTACCAGCTCACCAATAAAATAACTTTTAGATAAGCATTTCCATGACAATAATTTCTATTTTTCTTAATGTTAGGCTTATGATTTAATAATGAAGTCTTTAACAGATCCAACTAAAATATACACGGCATTTTTGCACAAAAGATGGCTTTGATATAAATGTGCATTTAAATGCAAAATTATTAAATATGAACTTTTCCTTAACTCAGACTTCTTTATGGAGCTAGTAATAAACCACACACAAGGCAGACCAGATGGCTGCCTTACCAACTGACTCCTGGATCACCTTTGCATTCTTTGTGCTATCCAACTACTACACGCAGAATTCCAGCATTACATGGTATAAGCAAGATAGAGAAGTACTTAGGAGACATAGAACATGTTAAGTCCAGTTAAGAGCGTTCGAGGAGGTTAAAACTTTTAATTGGGCCCTATCAAAAGTACAAATATCCTACTTTCAGTTGATTTTAGTGGGTGCAGGGGATACAAGAAGACTCTAGCCCTCTCTGATTAGAAAAACGAAGGTTCTCACACAAGTCTGTTCACAGAGCAAAATATCACATACATTCAAGTTTAAAGTACAAGAAAGCAAGAAACAGGAATGTCTAAGTTAAAGCTCAAAGAAACAGCTGCAAACACATTCTAAGATTAAGGTGGCTTTTGATTCCACATATACTATCAAACACTTCCATTCCACCCACTTCCTTAGTTCACTCTTCAGCCACTTTATCTAGAACAGGATGCTATTCGAGACGTTCAACAAAGGCGGGCATTCGAGATCTTCAACTAACGAGGGAGAGGGTAGGAGAGACGTGGGCCGGGAGCAGGGCCTGCGAGGCAAGCCCGCTGAACCGGGCGCCTTCGCTGCCTTTGGTAACCATGCCGACCAAGCCGAAACGCGGCGTCTGCGCGGGCTTCAGCCCCCGAAGCGGGCGCGGGACCCCGGCCGGATCTCGGCGGCCTCGGACCGGAATACACGCCAGGCGCACTGACGGGAAATGGAGGGGGAGCTAAGGAACTTGAGGCACGCAAAGAAGCTGCCACTCGGGCGCGGCCCTCACACATACTTACTTTTTCAACTCGGGAGGATGAGCTTTGCTCATGGCGTCGATGCAGTGAGCTCAAACACGCCTCGGAACCGAATTCGTGGTCTCCTTCACGCTCCCGCGGTAGGCCCGGCGCTTTGCGTCTGACGTCACTCACCCCGTAAGCCAATCGATTGTCCGCAGCGTTCACATTTCACCTCGCGATACTCAGGGGAAGCCTGAGCGTGTTGACCAGTCTCGAGCTTCCGGTTGCGCCACCAGCGATTGGCCAGGATGGAGGGGTGGGGCTTCAAGACGACTTCTTTAATTCCCTTTCCTCTTGTGTAAAATTGAGATAACCGTCTCGTCTCTAGCGTGTGAACGACCGTGGTCGATCCTTTACCTTTGTGGATCGCATCATTTATGTTCTTCATACATACTAAATGAAAATAAACTTTGGAGGATTGGGCTCCTAGTATTTCTTTGGCACGTATTCCCCCAGCATATTGTCATGTTAAGCATAGGGTTCCAGTAACATCTCAATTAGTGACCTCTGCACCAAAAGAGTAGGGTGCCAAGGCCTCAGTTTCCAGGAATTTGAATCTAGAGCCCGGAAGTGTATTCCCGACTGACGGTCCTACAATTCTGGTAACACTGCCTCGGGAACCGCACTTAATGTACCTTGCCCATATCTATAAAACGTGAAGTGCAGCACACAAATGATCTCTAATATGAGGTAGATTTTCAAGTCAAGAGCGTAAGTGTAAAAAGTGGTCTCTGACTTGTTCCCAGTTAAGTTACCCAAAATAGGAGAATCCACATTTATGCATTAAATGCAACAGAGATTGTAGAAGATTTAGGCCAAAACAGAAAAGCCTTGGTGATTTTAAGTAGGGGATGGTTTTCCAAAATTCAATTCATTCCTAATGTTCAGGAATGACTCTATTTAAATATTAATGATAGTAAAGACTTAGTTAAACTTATCATATATTTTGTACTCTCTTGGTACTCAATATGTTAGACCTTGCATTTTCTCTAGAGGGGTCATAACTGTCTATCTTTTCCACCTCTTGCTGTTAGTGTTGATTTGAAGCTAGAGAGCTGACATGGATATTCAATTTCTTTTTTTAACCTCATAGACAGTTTCTATCTTTTTATACTGTGGACTTCAACTCATAGTGCCCTAGCCTACCCTCAAAGTTTTTCCAATTTACAATGAACCAGTCCTGCATCCGAACCACAACACACAACTAATTTTCACTCTTCTGAACCTCTTAAGAAGCTTATTTCATACATTACAGAGAGAAGCATGAGAAAGAGAATATACAACCCGAGAAAGATATATATTCGTTGCCCAGATATAAGGAAAGAAACACAATAGTGGAGGAAAAATTAAACCTTATTTATTTTTTAAAACCCAACCACTAGGAAAATATATCACAGCCTTGATTCGGCATACAGACAGGCTATATTATCATTTCAAGTGATGAGGTGGTAGAAAGACAATAAGGTCCTTATCAAATGATAAGGTGCCAGAGCTGGGACAGGGATGCTGCATGTCGCAAAAGCCCCAGGCAGAAGTGGTATTTGGTAATGGGGGGCTACCTCTCTTTTGCTCTAAAGGAGTCACAGCTCGCCCCTGAGTTGCTTACTTTTTCTCCTTTGACCTTGTTGCCAAAAGGATTGTCTCAATAGGGCTCTGGTATTTCAGGGGGCTAAGTAAGCAATACTGGGTTTAGGCTTTCATTCCATTCTGTTCTAGGAAAATCAGGTTTTTCCAAATTCAGTACTTCATAACCCTCTTAATTAAGCAGCCAGCAGTTCCTCTTTCACTGTTCATTCCTAGATACTTGTATATAGCACAATCAAAACTCCCTTTCCCTTCAAGGGAGAGTGTCCCTGCAAGATTGTCCTGTCACTCTGCTGTAGACAGCCTCCAGGCCCATCACGGCAGCCAGTGAGAGGGAAGGTCTGCTTCCCATACCGAGGATGACATCGCCTCTCATGTTTTCACAGGGTCCCCAGGCTGAAGGATGTAATGCATGAGAATTTTAAGAAATGCAGATCCATATCTTGATGGCCAGAAACGGATATCTGCAAGAAACTTTTCAAAGTTCTTATCCAAACTACCTCTCCCAACTCCACTTCTTAAATCAACTTCATGCCCTTGTATATAAAACAAAACCAAGCAAAACAAAGACCCAGAAACCTTTTTTCCCCTTCTACATTAGTGACCTCATGGATTTTGTTTTACAGCTTATGGAAAATGGTGTGGTGATCCTTCTGGTAAATAGAAGGTTGGCAACAAAAAGAAAACACCTCTCTTCCCACTCTACCAGATCATAGGCAGCTGAGAGGAACCTGCCAGCCTGCTGGTACGCGTGTACTGAGAAGAATCTGGTACCTTGAGGGTGCTGGTTTGGTACAGGGGAGATCCCTAGTGCCAGGATAAGCACTTGCCACATGCAATTTAGGCTCTCAGAAACTCTCCTGTGCTATCTCTGACCCATATTTTAGCACCAGTTTTTTCCCTTTCACTTTCTAGGATTGAAACGTAAAGAAACCAATGTCCAGAGGCAAGTGACATATGCCTTAAATTTGCTGCCATCCACAATTTCTTCATTCATAAACTTCCCTTAAAAGACCAAAATTCCCACTCTTCTTTTTAAGTAGATTCCTGTCCTCAGCCTCGATGGCCAAGGGCAAAGACTTCTACTTCCCAATGGATGAGAGAGACTCCTTCATTTTCTTAGTCATGGTCGGGATGAGGTGCATGTGGTCATCCACACACTTGGTCACACAACTCTCCAGCTGCTGCTTCACCTGAAGCTCTTTACTTCCAGCATCCATTGAATCTTTGGCTTTGTCACTGCAATGCATACTGCACCGGGCCAGGCGGTCCTGTGGCAAGAAGGAAGAGGGTAGAGAAGGCTGAGAGGTTGGCCTCCATTTACCGAGTACTTAACTTATCATGCGCCAGGCCCTTTGCTACATATTTTGGCTGGACATATATTATCTTGATCAATGAAAGGGACACTCAAGGGCAATTAACTAAGATTATCCTGACTGAAACAGAGGGTGGTACCCGGAAGGCCTAGACAAAGCATTACTTGAAAGCAGGTGAATAAGAGAATTAATTGTAAAGAAGCCTCTTCCGCGCTTCCAGAAAGTAAGAAGTAACTAGAGGCTACTGTTAATCAATTACAGAAAGACTTACAAACATCTTAATTCTTTAATGTCTGTCCTTGCCACAGAAAAACTCAATTCAACAAATATTTATTGAGCATCTACTATGTGCCAGGTACTCTTCTAACATTGGGGAATACAGCAATGAGTAAAACAGGTAAAGTTCCTGCCCTCGTAGAACTTACATTCCAGTGAGGGGAGATACACATACAAATAAGTGGAGATGGTGAGGAAACAGTTAGATTTATGAATCTGGAGACCAGGAGTGAAGTTGGTCTAGAGATATGGAATGTAGGAGTTGTCAGCATAGAGATGGTATTTACAGTTGTGAGACCAGAGAACTAGACAGAAAAGGGAAAAGGTCCCAGGACAGCCCTAGGCACTCCAACGCTCAGAGGCTAGAGAGGGGAAAAGCCAGCAAAGGAGGCCACGAAAGCGTGGCCAGGGAGAGAGGTGGAAACCAGAGAGTGAGACGTCCTGGTGGCCAAGTGAGTAAAGTGTTTCAAGGAGGGGGAAAGTGATCCACTGTGTCAATGATGCAGACAGGTTGAGGAAGATGAGGAGTGAGAAATGACCACTGGGTTTAGCCCCACAGAGGCGAGTGGAAAGAGCAGTTCTGGCACAGTGCAAGAGTAAGTCTGGTTGGAGAGGACTGAAAAGGGAATGGAAGGAGAAAGTGATACAGCAATTCATGAATCAATTTTTCAAAGACCCTATCTATAAAATTAGGTGTCAAAATAAACACAAAGAAACTCTTTGGAGTTCCATGATCTTGGAGAAGTTATTCCTTTATAGTGTCAGTAATTTTGAAGAATTTTATATAGCAGGATATAAAAATGTATCACATTAGATATAATGTTTCCATGTGAACAGAATCCCAGGCTATGAAAAACTGGTTCAGAAGTGGGCCCTGCTTCCCCCAAGTTCCAGAAAAGTATATTCAGAGGAAGGGAGTAAAACGAAGTTGTGGCTACCTGTTGCTCCAGAGAGGGATACAGGGGGCTCTCAGTGACCTTAGAGGGGCTTGCGAGGTAGGCATCAGTGAGTCAATGATAAAGCTTCATATAAATGACTGCTCTCTAGTGACACGGGAGCTGCAAGTGTCACTTGGATGTAGCAAGTGCAGCAAGTAGGGGCAGTCTTGGGTGGGTGTGTAAGTCCACAAAATGATGGTAGGATCTTGCTCTAATATGCACCTTTTAAAGATGATCCTATTTCACTTTCCTGGAGATTCTGCTGTTGTAAGAATGAATTAATATGTTTTAGAAAGCTTTACACTATACAGTATACATATTATATTTGCTGTCTATGGGAAAAAAAAGCATAAGCTCTTGGTCATGAACATCCTTGTTTCTATGGGAAATACAGCACTCAACCTCTGGGACTTTTTCCAAAATTTCAAACTCTATGAAGACTGGTTGGCCATAGGACTGTCACAAATGTTAAAAGAACCAAGACACTAAAACCAAGAGTTTGAACAAATGCTTTTCATCTCCTGCAAAAGAGCAACATCAAGGACTAGAGTCCTCTGTTTGGGATATTCCTCACCTGGAACTTCTCCAACTCGCTGGTCACCAGGGCCTGGGCTTGAGCCAGAGGCGCATGGCAGCGCTCAATGCACTGGTGCACCTGCTGCATGGATGCCTGGCTGTCCTCACAACAGCTGGCGCTGCACCGGAACATGAGGCCCTGGAGAGGGAGGGCAGAGAGAGGTTGGGTAGGAAAGCCTCTGGGGACAAAGATGACCACGGAGGGCAAGAGAGTCTAGGAGGAGCGTCCATATATGCACCTCTCTTTGGAATAGACACCAGGACCTTAAAACCATGAATGGGAAAATTATCCTTGGTGCCTAGCAGAGTGTTTCATGGCCTTCTTGCTGCTAGCTCATTGGCACTTGTTGCATCAAAGGCTAGCTGGATGGGGAAGGTGG